TGAGAGTGTGTCTCCATACCTGAGAGAGTACAGCATTAATTAGAGCTAATCCTATCAGATTTATTAACAAATGAGATACCTTGGCACCCCAAGAGACAGACCACAGAAGAAAGGAAAAACTTTTTTTTCCTCTGTTTTGATCAAGGGACTCAACATTTTTATTTTGCATTGGGTCTTGATAATTATGTGGCTAATCCTGAGGAGTGGAGAAAAACCAGGCCTTCTAAGAGTATGGTCAGTATACTTGGAATACACCATGTCATCAAATTGCTCCACAAAAAGTGATACAGCTGTATGGTGCATTCTGAGCTGGGATCAGAGCAAGTTTAATGCTGAAACAGAACAACTAGGCAGAAGGTTGGCTAAAGGGGAGAAGGGTAGTGCTTACTTGGTGCTAAGAGATTTAATATACTCCGGTATGTTTAAACATGTTATAGAAACATAAAAATATTATCAAAGTAGGACCAATATAAGCTTTTGTTAAAAAAATTAACTAATTAAATTGAGAAAGGAAGAGGGCCAATGGTTTATAGCCATTATTGCTCATTAATTTAATATGCAATTATAAAAAATATATGAGCTTATAAAAGAGACTCACTTGAGTCTTCCTTAAGCTTTGAGAGATTCAATGAGGAGAGATCAAGAGAATACAAGTGAATCAGAATTAAACCAACATTGGATCCACAGTACTTCTCTCCTATTTCAGGCAGCAGAAACCAATGGTGTGCACCAGGTCCACTCATTCAAGAAACGTGTACTATTTCTTTCTTTGGCACCAGTTCTCTTCTAGCCAATGGCACTGCCCAAAGGGAAAAAGACAAGCATTTTGCTTTGTGCCTTAGGGTGGAGAGCAATCTAGAAATAAATAATTAAAATGCAACTGCTGTGTCAGGGACATACTGCTGGCTGGAGAAATGGGGGAGGAAATGGCTAACACTGCTGGAGAATGATGTGATCCAGGTTAAGGATTCACCAGAGCTTCAGAGAAACAGTTGAGAGTCTTGCTAGGGATGTTTGGTGCTGGTGATTTGCTCCTGAATCTTGGGCATGTTATTTACTCTGAGCTGATGGAACTTTCAGGTTGGCTCTTACTGTAGTTCTAAGCTAAGCAGTGTGACTCGGTGATAGGGAATCTTCAGAGGTATTTTAAGAAAGGGAGGGACATGATCAAAAATGCCACCGGTGAAGCTCGGAAGGACTTGAAGTGTTAGAAGCCTGGAGAGAGGGACTCCAGGGGGACAACTGAAGGAAGCAGTAGTGAAAAGGATGATGAAGTGGCCATCTGCTCAAAGAAGAATTTCATTTGCAGGAGATTCAGTCATCAATAACAACTTTATTCCTCAATAAAGTATCAATACCCGCTTCATCAATAGCAACTTCATTATAGAATTATAAATCACATTATGCTTTCTTAAATGATTTCCTATATCATTCCATTTGATCCTTACAAAGCCTTAGGATTTGTGGTAGATGGTATACTATCATTATTGCCATTGGCTCCAAAAGATGAGGCTGAAGTCACACAGTCAATTGGGGCATCAGGATCTCAGACTTCTTGAGAGGTCTTCCTGTCTACACTTTACATTTTCTGTACTAACAATCTTTATTTTGTACACTTTTCCACATTCTGTATACTTTTATTTTTTTTATTTTTGTTTTTTATTGCATTTTAGGTTTCAGGGTACATGTGAAGAACATGCAAGATTGTTGCATAGGTACACACATGGCAGTGTGATTTGCTGCCTTTGTCCCCTTCACCTATATCTGGCATTTCTCCCCATGCTATCTCTCCCCAACTCCCCACCCCACGCTATCCCTCCCCTATTTCCCCCCAACAGACCCCAGTGTGTGATACTTCCCTCCCTGTGTCCATGTGTTCTCATTGTTCAACACCCGCCTATGAGTGAGAACATTCGGTGTTTGATTTCCTGTTCTTGTGTCAGTTTGCTGAGAATGATGGTTTCCAGGTTCATCCATGTCCCTACAAAGGACAAGAACTCATTGCTTTTGATGGCTGCATAATATCACATTCTGTATACTTTTAAAAGTCTCAGTGTCATGCTCCTGTACCCACCTCTCCAAATTCTCCAAAGACACATGGCTAAGTCTTTTGCAATTCCAGTTTCTAGTCTCACTAGTAAAAGTTCAGAGCTATGAAGATACATTCAAAAGGCTATGAGGTGGACAGTCAATCAATACCAGGTTTTAAATCAAAGTGTGAATATGTTCTTATTGTAACTACGTAAATTCACAGGTAAACATTTTGTTGCTATGTAAGTTCACGGGTGAAAATTTTCCTTTTGGCTGAATAGACAGTTTCTCAAGATCCAACTTTAATCAGTATTTTATGAACTCCCAGTGTGTATGAACACAGAAACAGTACCTGTCTGCAAAGGAAAAAAATAATGTTGCCCTAGGTAGTTATGTTGGTGAGCAAAAGTCATAGCAGTGTGAAAAGAGGATTGAGACTGAACCACAAACACCTGTTCAGAATCCAAATTTTCTTCCCTAAAATGGCAGCTTAAATGCATTTGGACAAGTTAAATGGTCCTCTATTCTTCCTTCCTTAAGGAAGTACATTTCTTTATGTTCATTATCAAAAGGCAATACACACTGAATTATGGTGCTACTCACTACTCACTCAGCCAATTGCTGGTGGGTATAATCATGCACCTGTTAGTTGAGAAACTCCTGGGATACAAAACTGTTCAGCAAGCAGACATCCTCAGACAGACGGAGGGCCTACAGAATACTCCTGCTGAATTATGCAAGATTTTCTGGTTTATGGTCATTAAAAGCAGTGATAAAGCAGCTGTCGCTGGGTAGGATGTTGTAAATATCAGTGCGAAGAAAAGAGATGGTTACCCGGGCACCATTCATCGCATGACTGTGAGCTTTGTGTTAATATTTCCCTTAAAAATCCTTATTTTGATAAGATTATAAACTGCCTGACTAAATATTTGTTCCAGGCATCACCTTGAGGCTAAAGGTCGAAAACAAGATACAGGTGCAGTAAGTGTCTGTGCACTCCAGGCTTTGCATGAAGTTTCAGAAGAAAAAGGTTTGAAAGAAAGGCTGAAATTATGGGGTTGATTTTTCAATTAAAATAAAAATGGAACTGAGCTACTTGTAGACCGCCTTTTCCGTTTCTATTTAGTCTATCTACCAAACTGTACTGGTTTGAACTGGTTCACATTTGAACAGGGAGAAACTGAAAGAAGAAGAATATTGGAAAGATGCACATCGTTTTTATTTCACTAACCTCACCAGCCTGGGATTTCAGAGACTGTTTTTGTCATCTGATACGTGAGTGTTGAGAGAGGGAAACATGGTGTGAATGCCTTTAGTCACACTGCCCAGCCATGAGGCACGTCTGCCACTTGAAAACACCATGGGGACAGAGCAGTATGCTCAATAAATAACAAGCGAGGGTAATGATGACGGAGCAAATATTTGGACACCTCTGCAACCACAAACAGAGGTAAATGTTTACTGATACAAAACACAAAATCAAGTACAAATAACGGGTTTATGCAACACGTAAAACTGAGTGAAGAACTGAAGACTGAACACTGTATCTTCACGGTATGGGCACCAGCCCTAACAGATACCAAGTAATGGGGTTAGCTGATTATTTTAGAGTGAATTTGATGTGTTTCTTCAGCTTTTATTAAAAGCATTCATAAAAGACGTCATATCAAAAGATGAGAAGAAAATATCCCCGTACAGAAATTTGATTATGAGCAGGTCCAAATGACACAAAAGCATCTAGTCTTTTAGAGATGACAAAAACATAAAGCGTCCCAGTTTCAGTAGAATTTAACTTCAGATTTGTGTATCCAAGGGCCTTAGTGTCTCATGCCAATTGAAAAGTTAAGTTTTAGAAGGTAATTTAATAGGCAATATTTTTTACTTATTAAAACGTAGAACCTTAGAGCATCTTAAAAGGAAACTGCTTGAGGATTTTTTTTTTCATTATCCTTTTTCTTTTGGCTGGCATAACAAAACAGAGTATTTATGGCATTTAAAAAGAAGAAGTCTGCAGTTGTGTGACAATTATTTAGTGCCTATTTATGAGTAAGAACAGCTTGTTTTTCAAATGGCTTAGTCTAGTGTATAATGGAAAGAGTGAGGCATATAAAACGCCTACCTGTTTCCAGCACCATATCTATATGTTTTATATGTTTCTGTCTTCTAGATGCTTAGTCATGTCTTATTAAATTATATTCCTCCTTAGGTTAGTATTTTATCTTGTGTACTGTAAGTGCTGAATAAATGTGTATCTAAGGACTAGATGAAGGAGATGAGGAAAGGAAAGCAGAAGTTCCTGTGGTTGGGGGACAGTAGTGTATGCAAACACAGAGGCATGGCTCTGTCCACGAGCATCATGGGAACCAGGATGGGTGGATGATGGAAGGAAGGAAGGAATGAGGGAGGGAAGGAAAGAGGGAGGGAGGGAAGGAAGGAAAGAGGGAGGGAGGGAGGGACAGAGGGAGGAAGAAAGGAAGGCAGGGAGGGAGGGAAGAAAACACTGAGAAGGAAAGTCACTTCCTTAGACACTGGGTATGTCACAGTGGAGGGGCTTGTGTCCTGGTGGTCGTTGGAAATTCAGTTCCATGGTTCATTTTTTCCAATTCAGAAATGCAGAGAGTCTGAAAACAAAATTTTATTGCAAACATATGGCAGGCTTGTTTAGTGGTAAAACCTGATCTGATTCCACTAAGTCTCTTTAGATTTTTTTCTATATATTCCACCTCATAAACATTTTCATAAGTTTTTCAGTAGAAATGTAAATGTGTTTGATTACTAGGCACTGTTCCAGTCCCTAGCTGGGGGTGTTATTTAATGTATACTGTATGTGTATCTTATTATATTTTAAAATTATGACCAACTTTGAATTACTAACCACATCCCATTGCCAAGGATTCCAGATAAAGGATGTGGATCTATGGGAGTTCACAAGGGGAGCATGACATTGTTGGTTAAATTACTTGCTCAGGTGAAGCAACTCTTCAATTGTATACTGGAATTTGAATACAAGTGTTTCCAACTTAAAGTTGTGATTCTTTTCTCCAAAGTATTATAGTAGCAAAAGTGAAAGTTTTAAGTCAACAAATGTATAGTTATATGTTGAATATTTGCTAGGTATTTCCCTAATTGAATTTACATATAATCTTTATATAGTCTTGATGTAGGCATTATTTTTATCATAATTTTGCAGATGAGAAAAAATTCAGGGAAATTAAGCAACTCATGCAAGATCACAAAGTTTGTTAGTGGCAGAGGTGAAATTATGAACCTAGGTAGCCATTCTCTATACCCATGGCCATAACCAACACACAGTACTTTTAAGACAAGGATATGTCTAGGACATTGACTGTAGAATGAGAGAGAGTTTGAAACCTCTTTGAAAAAAATATTTGAAAAGGAGAATCTTTATCATGTTGGGAAGACTTCACTGGCTCCCAATGCTTGGGTTTCTCCAGCAATCTTGGTAAACAACACCTATTCATCTGGATGGAATGGACAGAAGGTCATATAGGAAACTGGGTTATCCTTGCAAAGGCCTAAATGAGATGCTTGCTACTGGAAAGCACCAATTAAGTTGAATGTTGTAAGGGTGACAAGGCCGGGAGCTGTCCTGTGACCTAACAGATGCCTGAGTGTGTGTTGTGAATTCTGCCACAAGATTCCCAAGATTTTTCCTTTTCAAAGTCATCTTCAAAACAAAGAAGATAACAAAGATGAAAAATGGGCAGAACTTCTTAAACACAAGGTTGGTGATATCTCAACAGTATACCTAAGAAGGGGAGGCTTAGTGGTCAAAACCCAGGAGAGCTGCGTGGATTATACTCATGAACTTTGAGAAGCTTGAATTTATCTGTTTTGCATAATTGGTTTATAGTTTATCATGGGCATGAATGAGTTATTCTCATTGACTTTCTTTCCAGAACCTCTTATTAAAAGTTTCAATAAAATATTATTCTAAAAGCACTTTTGTAAACACACTGTATAGATATAAATAATTGGAATGAGGAATTCATGGAAATGTCTGGATTTCCTGTAAAGCAGAGCCTGAGGCAGCACCATGTACTACTGCTTGACTGGCCAGCCCTGGAGAGCAGGAGTGATGGGCAAGGAGAGTGAAGCAGAGAAAGTGACAGAGGCAGCTAAAGGATGCAGCTGATTTCTGGGTGTGGAGACCGTTCTCCAAAACGTCACTCTGTCTCAGTTCAGTGAGGTGCCTGAAGGAAGAAGTAATCTACTGTTCTCATCTCCCACTGGTCAAAGTTTTGTATACAACAGGTTGTATACAAGCTGGTGACACAGGGATTAAGTTCCTAGCACTTCCAGGTTGAGGTTGTACAAGCTGCAATAGGGTCTTGCTTGTTGATGCTCACCTCTTCACCTCAACAGAAGTACTAGGGAGGTGGAGGATTATGTAGCCTAGACAGGAGGTGAGCTGGGGGCAGGTGGCACTTTGCTGCAATTGGTTGGAGCCCACGTGCAGTAAGGCACTCAATAGCAGCTGGAACCAGAGACAGGCAAGACAGATGGGATTTGAAGTCATTGGGGATATGTGGTCTAATGGGTATTGGTGCATTTTTAATGATGCTTTCCAGACTATGACCTGCCATACACAATGTAAATAGGAAGCTCTGCATCAGGGTAGTTGGGCAATAGTTAGGGTTCTCTAGAGAGACAGCAACAGTATGATGGATGGATGGATGGATGGATGGATGGATGGATGGATGGATGGATATATGATTGGATGCCTGGATGGATGGATGGATGGATGGATGGGATTAATTAGGGGAATTGGCTCATGTAATTATGAAGGTTGAGAAGTCCCACAACAGGTTGTATACAAGCTGGTGACACAGGGATTCAGCAATATGGCTGGTTTAGTACAAATTTGAAAGCCTCAGCATCATGGAAGCTGATGGTATAACTCTTAGTCTGGAGCTGAAGGCCTAAGAACTCAGGAGGTGGGGTTGGTGGGCTACTGGTGAAAGTCCTGGAGTCTGGAGGCTGGAGAATCTTAAGTATGAGTATCTAAGGTGAAGAAAGGTATTCTACCTCCATGAGAGAGAGAGAAAATTTGTCTTTCCTCTGCTGTTTGGTTCCACCCAGGCCCTCAGCTGATTGGATGGTGTCTGCCCATCTTAAGGGAAGATCTTCCCCACTCGGGCCATTGATTCGCATGCCAGTTTCCTCCAGGAACGCCCTCACTGACACATCCAGAATGATGCTTTATCCGCTGAGATAATCCTTACCTGCACTCTTTCATATAAGTAGCTGCAGATTCTGTATGACTATGAACTTTAGGTAAAATTATCTTTTAAAGTAACACAATCAGATAAAATTTTGTTTCATAAACTCTATAAGTAAATTAAGTTTTCAGAAATGGGTTCTTATTAGATAATCTATCTTTCATTCTTTCTCTTTGTTTTTTTCTTGCAATTTTTAAAAAATTTCCTTAACATTTATGAAGTGAATGTAATAAACAAAAGGGAAAATGTCTTTTGAAAAGCTAAAACACATGAGTGGCTACTAACTGGAACCTTTGCGGTTTAGCTCTCTGGCGTACCTGAGGACATTTTCTAGCAGGGATTATTTATTTCCCCTGGATTTGAATTCCTTTTATGATGATTTGTCTGTTGGTTACCCTACCAAATTCACTGGAATTAAAGAATGAGGGTCATTTAAGCGCCTGAAGATAAACATTTAAGATACGCTCCCCACAATCCCACCACAGAAACAGCATGAGCCCTAGGGAAAGACTTAGAATCTTTACCATGTTGGCAAGACTTCATTGGCCCTCACTTCATTGGCTTTGTCCAGCAATCTTAGTAAACAACACCTATTCATCTGGATGGAATGGACAGAAGCTCATATAGGAAACTGGGTTATCTTTGCAACGGCCTAAATGAGATGTTTGCCACCGGAAAGCACCAATTAAATTGAATATTGTAAAGGTGACAAGGCCAGGAGCTGTGCTGTGACCTAACAGATGCCCTCAGTGTGTGTTGTGAATTATGCCACAAGATTCCCAGCTGTGAGGTGTTCTCTTTCCCGTAGACTACGTGTTATACGACGCAGCACACTGGAGGCAGAGCCCATAACATGGAAGTGAAAAGCCTGGGCTTTTGTGTAGGTTGAGCTGAGTTGGAATTGCAGTTTCTCCTGTTTAAAATTAATACCCAACAACTTCTGTTATCAAATTGTTATTCCCATCCTTTATCTACCTTGTAGAATTGCAGAGATGAATGTGGTAATATAGTTAAAACTCTTGAGAACCCTCAACAAGTGGTTGTTGGCATAAGGTTATTTAAAAAACAAATTTATTTAGATACTTCAAGAGCAAACAACCATACTTATACCTGTAGCAGTTTTTAAGGTTTTGATTCAATTCCTCCCTTTGTACAAAAAATAAACAGAGAAAAACAACATTGCTGCAAAGCAGGCAATAATCAGCTTCACAACCTTGAAAGATGCTTTTCAATTTATCATTTTCCACTTGCACTGAGAATACATTCACATAATGAAAGAGCAGATAAAACATTTCCTTTGCTATTGAGATGATAGCAGCTGCAAGGATGTCCTAGAGCCCAGCCTCAACTCTCTTGACAAACTTTTAAACATATTACAGACTCCATTGTTAAAGAACATGTATGCAAAATCAAGAAAACCAATACTTTTCAAAGAAAACCTTTACCCCTCCACTTGCTGTCAATTCTTTTTTTCTTCTTCAATGAATCTCAGAGCCAGCTCTGGAGTTACATGATAATATCAAATCCCCATTTTGCAACACAGCCTTTCCTTCTGCCCCTGAAAACCATTTAATGCATTCCCTTTGAACTTAAGACAAAATCTGAGCTGCTTTACGTGAATTCCAAGGCTGTCCACAATTGCACCCTTCTCACATCATCAAACTCTAGTTTACAGCAAAAGCGTGATTCCTAGATGTTCAGTCAATATTTGTTGCCTGACTAATGATCTTTCTCTTGTTAATTCACCTCTTGTTGTCCACTCCAGTCATATTAGACTCCTTTATGACACGCATCTTCCCAAACACACTCATAAGTCCAGGTCATAGCACATGCTGTGAACTCTGCCCCCTCCTTCTGGCCATGCTCCATCCCCGCTTTGCCTTCTATACTCCTCAAGACTCAGTTTACACGTTATTTCAAGGAAGGATTCTATTATTGCTGGTCTAGAATAGGCCTTTCCTCTATAAATGCCATATAGAATTTCTCACTACTTCCGCGATTTCAGCTAATGGTAATCAAAGGTTTATTATCTGACTTTCTGCCATGCAGCAAAATCCTTGTACTGTAGGAACCATGGCTTCTTGTTTCAGGTATTTTGATGCTTTCACATCTGGGACAGTGTTATCACTGGAGGGATGACCTCTTTAGGGTTACGTAATTCCCACAAATAACAAACCACTCCTAGTTCCCTTCATATGCAAGCCAACCAGTACAGAGGCGGCACCTTAGATCACCTCCTCTAGCAGGCTCAAGACCATTTCTAATCACTCAAAGCCAGGTACCAAACAGCCAGGGACAGCTCTGCTCCCCCAAGCCTGCTGAACTTACCGAAACCTAAATGTTCTGCCCTGTGCTGCTCCTCATAGAAACCACATTAAAGACTCTTGCCTACATTTTCACCAGCTCCCTCTGCCTTCTGACACACCCCAGTGCTTCCATGTGGCCCGATGGAGAGGCCTGTCCCCTCCTCATGGGATATGTGAGTATAACAAGCTATCTTTTCAATGGCAGTTGCCTCTTAATCTGTTAGCTTCACCACGCTTAAATAATAAAAAACTTACTTTTTAAGACAGCAGAGATGTAACTTCTTTTCTTCACATTGAATTTCCAGTCCCACTGTGGTACCTGTAAAAGCAATAAATGCAAAATAAATAAATAAACATACACATATACATATACACACACACATTTCAAGTATTATTTATGTAATCAACTATGTTAATCAAAATGTATAATATTTATATATAAATATAAACCGTTCGCATTTCATTCACTCAGTGCATAAAATGTGAATGCTTTGATGGCAATTGGAACTTTCTTCTCTTTGCCTAACTTCTATTAGTTATAGTTTTTACATTTTCTTCTAAATTGTGTACTTCCAACATTGCAGTTTGCTTGTAATAAAACTACCCTCATTCCCTAGTTAGAAACTTAATCCCTAATTCCTAGTTTGAGTGCTCTCAGGCCTTCATCTTTTAACAAAACATTTGTTTGAGAATAAAATGTATTTTGTGCTCACATATAAAAACTGTTCATTATGATTGTACTTAAATAAACATAACTGCAACTGTCTTGTGATCTGACATAGTTGTGGGTGATTCACATGTAGAAATATTTCAGGAGATGAGAAAAAGCAAGGACAGTCTACTTTGGAGGTTCGGGTTGGCAGCATTCATCTCTCTGCTGGTCACACCTGCCGTATGTCGGCTTATCTTTTCCTCCAACTGTTTTCCTTCCTAGGAGTGACTTCGAGGCAGGAGACGTCACTTCCCACTTCCGGATCTGAGAAGTGCTCGTGTTTGCATATCAAGCAGTTTGCCATTTTCCTGAATGCGGTGTTTTGGTCTCAGTATCCATTCTTGTGATAGTCGAAATCTTCATCAACTGAGCCATTTTCTCCAAGTGCCAAAAAGCAAGTGTTTTTGTTCCTTCAGATTTCTGTATCATTGGAATTTCTAGCTCCTGAGGAAGATTGCCATTAGTACATGGCCCACCTTCTTTAGTGGGCATTTACACTCAGGGCCTCTATCTACCATTTCCAATCACGCAAAAGTAGGTACCAGACAACTATGGATGGCTCTCTGCTGAACTTATTGAAATGAATCCTATTCAAACTAAGCCATTCTAAACCTGCTACCCTGGGTTCGAGTTGTTTGAGAGACAAAATGAAACTTTTTCTTGTTTGTTTGTGTTTGAGACGTCTCGCTCTGTCATCCAGACTGGAGTGCAGTGGTGCAATCTCAGCTCACTGCAACCTCTACCTCCTGGGCTCAAGTGATTCTCCTGCCTCACCCTCCTGAGTAGCTGAGATTATAGGCACACATCACCACACCCAGCTACTTTTTAGTAGAGACAGGGTTTCACCATGTTGGTCAGGCTGGTCTCGAACTTTTGACCTTGTGATCCGCCCATCTCAGCCTCTCAAAGTGCTGGGATAACAGGCATGAGCCACCACTCCTGGCCTAAAATGAAACTCTTAAGGCCACACTCTAGGTAAAATGAAAACTCTGTAGCATGCACCCAATAAAATGAACTTTACATCTGTAAGACCAGACTCAGAATATAGTTTTGTGTTGGGTTAAGGCTGTTAGAAGTACAAACAAGAGTGTGATATTGGAGCTTCTTTTCTCTCTGCTTTATTTTTTGAACCCAAACATTGGCAATAGCCTAATATCCCCCAAAGGTAAAGATGAATATTTCTATTACTGACCAAGATATTATTTTTCTAGATTTCTCAGAATTATTTTCTTGCTCCTTTCCATTGTCTATCTAACTCTTATTTTTCCAGTCTTCTTTCTTCTTTTTTGATGCTGTCTGCGTGATACCTATCAATATGTATAAAGTAATTCCTCTAAAGTTTTAGTTAATTACAACAAAACTTTTGGGGGCAAGAAGCAGTAATAAAAATGCAAGTCATGATTTTCACTTGTAATGTTGTAATTATAAATAAAACTAATGTGAATAAGAGCCAGTAAACTCATTGGAATGTTTTGTCTACTACCAAAGGGTTTTATTAGGGGTGTTGCATTTAGAACATTGCCCCATTTGGACCTCAGCACAGTGTCTCTAGGTATTATACATTCATCAGCTTAGGTAACTATATGTAACTATACATGCTGGGATTCATTAACTTAGAATTTAAAATTGCCCAGGGGAGTAAAGACAGAACTAACATGTCACAACATCCAACCAATTCATCATCTGAAAAGAGAAAAGAAAAAGTAGATATGAAAAGAAGTCCCAGACAGGAAAGGGGTGTGATAAAGGCATGGGATACAGTGAGATAACTGAATCTTAAATGCACAAATTTTGGCAAAGTAACTGTAGCCTCAATCATGGGCTCATAGGAAGTCATTTAGAACATTTATCTATCCCTTACCAAGATTTCTACTGATAGTGATTGGAAGTGGGAGGAGAATTAAATCCACAAAATTAAATGTAAACTGTATACCAGAAACTTTGAAAGCAACGAAATTTAAAAGATACATGATTAAGAATTCACCCTGCATCCAAGACAGCCTTCCTACTCTGGACTGCCCTGCTTCCTCCTCACTTCATCCAATCCACGTCGCTGAGACCACATTTTCAAGACTTTGCACTGCTGGCTAAAAAGTACGTTTTTGGCCCTGGCCTGTAACGGAGATTGCTAAGTACTAGTATTCATCTTCTCCTGCTTAATTTCTTTTTGCGCTTATAGCAGAACCTCAGTTTCCTTTGAAGAGACAGTGAGCCCATCTAAATTCTTAAACTTCTTAAGACAGGTTTGGCATGTGATTGGCCAATAAGATCTAAATGAAAGCCTCTTTGTCCCTTCAGAAAGGTTATTGAAGCTGAGAATGGTACTGTTTTGTACTCGCCGACTTCCTTTTTCCTGCTGTCTCTATTGGAGATGTAATGGCTGGAATCCTGCAGCTATTGCAGACTAAGAGGTAATGTGGATAATGGAAAGTGTTTGTGTAGAAGTAGAAACCTGTAAGAAGCTTAGGCCCTTGTGGTACTATCCAGAGTCATCAAACAGCCTTAAACTTCTGTTCCCAGAATGCTCTTATAGAGGAGAATGAAATCTTACTTGTTTAAAGTTGTTTAAAGCGTATAATATGCTTTTCACCTATTGGTAGCAGCTGAAAGCAATTTCTAATTCATATCAACCTTGGTTTCTAAATTCTTTGCCTTTGTCACCTAATAACCTACATTTATTTCAAAAACAGCCTTCAAGTGTTTGCTTCCTTCCTACCTTTCCCACCCATCTATTCCCTCTGTCACCATCTCACTGATTTCTTTTTTCTGTGTTTGTGACTCTTCTGGGTAGCCGTGACTCACTCACACACTCTCTCTCTTTCTCTCTCTCTCTTTTCCTGAAACAAGGTCTCACTCTATTGGCCGGGCTGGAATGCAGTGATTTTCTCTTTAAGATCACCATTTTTTGCAGTCAGAAAGATGTGGGGCCCAATTTCTTGCTAATCACGTTATCTGGAACTATTCACTTAATGTCTCTGTTTCTCTGTTTCCTCCTCTGGTAAATGTGGCTGCCAGTGGGGAGCGTTGGATGAGAGCATGCATGTAAAGGACTTATAACTCAAAAAATTAGTGCTTAATAAATTAAGTAATTATTTGAAATATTTTGATAAGGTTAGCACTCTCACTGTAAGATTTTATGGAGAATTGTGAGTCTAGCTCAGAGCAGTGTTACTTAATCAAACAGGGCCCTGTCTATCCTAAATCTCTTCCCTGAAGTGATACCAAAGGGTCATGTACTTGACAGCCAGAGCTTAGAGACATATGTCATGCCTTTCTTGAAGCTTTGTGTTTTTCCTCTGTGTGACTAAGAGGCCCCTAAGTTTTCAGACTTTCTTCACACAACTTGCTTTAACAATGGTTAACACTCTGATTCAGTTGATGATACTAAATGAGGAAAAAAAGGGTAACAATTTTGATAAAGAAATATTAGAAATAATTAAATAATTACTAGTGCAGTCCTTAAAATCACTGGCTTTGGACTCAGGAGGACCTAAGTGTCATTTTGAGTTTTTCTTTGATTAGCTGTGAGAGAATTAAGCCACATAATTAACCTTTTCAAGCCTCAGTTTCTTCAACTATGAAGTGTGGCTAATAAGAGTTGTGCTTAGATGGTAATGTTGAAGCTAGACTGAAATAATGCACATAGACTAACTGGTGTGTGCCTGGAACCTCTCACACGCTCAGTGAATCAAAACTATGAGTTCTGCTATGAGTAAAAGTGATAATGCCAATAAAGGAAATAAATAATCACACATTATGGGAGACCAATAGTTTATCAGTCCACTTAAGGTCTTCCAGAAATGACAATTTATTTATTTTTAATTCTTTACTTCATTAGTGCATGGGGTGCAGCCGGTGTTTGGTTACATGGGTAAGTTCTTTAGTGGTGATTTCTGTGATGTTAATGCACACATCACCCAAGCAGTGTACCCTGTACCCAGTAAGTTAGCCTTTTATCTCTCACACTCCTCCCAAACTTTGTTCTAGAGTCCCCAAAGTTCATTATATCATTTTTATGCCTTTGTATCCTCATAGCTAGTTCCCACTTATAATCAAGAACATGGAATATTTGGTTTTCCATTCCGGAGTTACTTAGAATAATAGTCTCCATCTAGCTCCATCCAAGTTGCTGCAAATACATTATTTCATTCCTTGTTATGGTTGTGTAGCGTTCCATGGTGTATATATACCACATTCTCTTTATCCACTTACTGGTTGATGGGCACTTAGGTTGGTTCCGTATCTTTGCAGTTGTAAATTGTGCTGTTATAAACATGTGTGTTCATGTGTCCTTCTTATGTAATGACTTCTTTTCCTTTGGGCAGATAGCTAGCATTGGGATGGCTGGATCTAAAGGTACTTCTACTTTTTTAGTTCTTTAAGGACGTGTCATAGTGTTTTCTAAAGTGGTTGTACTAATTTACATCCACACCAGCAGTGCAAAAGCGTTCTCTTTTCACCACATCCACACTAACATCTTTTGTTTTTTGACTTTTTAATTATGGCCATTCTTGCAGGAGTAAGATGATATCTCATTGCAGTTTTTTTTTTTTTTTGAGATTGAGTCTCACTGACAATTGATACAATGGTATAAAAAGTGTTAAGAA